TTCATCAGTCTCCATGATGACATCCCTCACCTTGTCCACAAAGTCCACGGTGTTCTGTATGTGGTGTTCTGTATGTGGTGTTCTGTATGTGGTGTTCTGAGCTGCCAACTAAAGGGATGAGTACAGACGCCAGATATTTGGAAACATTGTAAGTGACAGAGTTAATCATGCTAACAATAGGTCTTAAAGGTACACCTTGTTTGTGGATTTTAGGTAAACCATACAGACTAGGTGTGGCCTCCCCTGGGTACAGTCTGTGGTACAGAAAACTGTCAATAGCCTTGACCTGCTCAATCTATCAACTTCTTCTTGTAACCACTTGCTGGGTGAAAATGTGTTGTTTATAAGACTGAGTTTATTGCAGCTCCTCAGACTGAAGAAGTCTTCTGGATAAAAGACGAAATGTTTCAACAGAGGAAACACGGCCTCCACCTGCAGTGAAACGTACCCTGGCGCTGACTGCTGCACCCGCCTGATCCAAGACGGGTTGAATCTTTTCATTCAAGAAGTCGGAGCTGCTCCCCATCCATATGAGCACTTGTGTGAGGTACCACTCTGGCTGCAAAGTAAAAGCACAGATACACCATGATCATTTTTCTAGAACACTGCATACATTTTATTAAGGAGCTCATTTGTTTTCTTTTTTTTACCTCTAAATTTGAATTTTGAACAAGTGACATCATTAAAACTGTGCAATAGAAGGCGAGGTGGAGGGGGCGATTACTTTTAACTGCAGGAAGTTTGAGGTAAAACTGAGTTTAGTCATAAAGACATCTATAACAGGTAAGATATTATCTGTGAGAAACTGACACAGAACTGCCTTCAAAATGTTCAAACTTTCTCTTTAAGACTGTTACGATATTTATCTAGACTGGTCCTGGGGTTTTGATCTGCTCAGAGACGGGATTCTAATGAAACTATGACCCGGTTCTGACTGGGTTAAACTGGGCCAGCAGCTCTAAGAGAGTCTCCCTGGGATTTAATATCAGTCAAGGAACAGAGTTTAATCTGCCACATCACGTAGAAAGGCCTGAAGCACCGTCTCATATTTCCTAACACATCAGAACCACATAAGATCCATTGAGATCACACTTAGCCACGCCCCCTCATACACTGACAGGTTGAGCTCCCCTTCTGCGAAGGAGGAGTCTAGGACCCTATAAATGAGTAATGACATGGGACATGGGGGCTCTTCCGGGTCCGTGAACGCATCACAGACCGGAGAGACCAGTGCTGTAAACTGTAACCTTTTCCTGCCTTGATTGAATACAATTGGTAAAACTTGACATTTCCTTGATTTATTGTTTAGTACGAGTTGCCACTTCTGAGGGAGATTCAAGCCGGGGGAAGCTACGTAGGCTGGAGGCGGGTCCTGGGTCCGAGAAGGGACCTCTGGGTGATTGGTGACCCGCAGCCAGCCCTCGTCCCGACGCAACAAGACAGAAATCCATTACAGTCAGAGTTGACTAAACTTGGGTTGTGAGGTGGCTGGCTCCATGGCTCCATACCCCCCCCCCCCCCCCCCGCTGGAGTTCAAGAGAAATATTGTTCTTAAAATTATTTTAAAAATACTGAGGAATACTATGAAAATACAAACGCAGGGAACGTTCAGTTCTTGAAGGAATATCGCCCGCTGCCTTTCAGGCCAGAGCTCTTTCTTGCTTGCTCTCGGTGGAAGGCAGACGTGTCCTCCGCTCCGTCCCTGCTTCACTCTTTGGTCCTGTGAACCTCTTACAGAGCCTCTTTCTTTATACCTTCCTACCTGTTAACGATGGATTTGATCAGCTGGTCTCTCAACAAAATTGATCAATTTTTCTCAACAGGCAGTCAGGGTGAGGGTTGAGTGATACTAGCAATCACAGCATTGTAAGAGGGGGACAGTTGAACCTGGAGGCTCCACCCCTGTTTAATGATGGACGGTTTCTTTTCACAAAGATGGCCTCCTTTACTCCTCTCTCAAACCATCGTTCCTCTCAATGTGAACATCTTCATCCCTGAAAGAGTGACCTCTGGCCTGGAGATGAGTGTAGACCGCAGAGTCCTGGCCTGATGATGTTGATCTTCTGTGCTGGTCCATCCTTTTGGCCAGTGGCTGTTTAGTTTCCCCGATGTAAGACTGATCACCCTCCTGACACTGAACAGCATACACAACATTACTCTGTTTGTGCCGGGGGACTGGATCTTTGGGATGAACCAGTCTTTAATGTATTTTGGGGTTTAAAAGCCACTGGGACGTTATGTTTAGAAAATAAACGTCTCAGTTTCTCTGATACCCCCTCAACATATGGAATGACCACTGGTCTGGGTCTGGGTTCCTCCTTTTCACCTGTTGGCTGACTGGAGTCCTGTTTGGGTTTCTTCTCTGCTTTCAGGAAGGCCCAGTTAGGATATCCACATTGCTCTAGAGCCTGTCTTGTGTGGGATTTCTCCTTCTGCCTGGCTCCTGAGCTAGTGGGGACGCTGTCTGCTCTGTGGTACAGAGTCCTGATGACTCCTAACTTGTGATCCAAAGGGTGATGGCTAAGGCTTTCCAGCTTTTGCAATCCACCTTCAACATCATCCAGACAGATTTGTTCCACCTCAAACTGGTTCTAAATGCTGATGAAACCAAAGGGATATTGTTTTCAAACAGGAAGTTGGTCCCAGCAGTTCTTCCTCTGATTTTATCCTCAAATGGTGTCCCCATTGAATTTGTTGATTCCTATAAATATTTGTGTATCTTGGTCGACTCATCTCTCTTTTAAGCTCCAACTTTGTAAAGAAACTGAAAGTTAAACTGGGTTTCTTTTTCAGAAACAGATCCTGTCTAACACTGAACCCTGAGGAACGCCTTGTATCTGTGACTTTCCTTCCCTCCATTGATTACGGTGACATTATTTACATGAACGCTCCTACAAGAACCCTACAGATGTTGGATGATGCAGATGTTGGATGCTGCAGATGTTGGATGCTGTCTATCATGGTGCACTAAGATTCATAACTGGCTGTAACTACCGCACCCACCACTGCACCCAGTATTCACAGGTTAACTGGTCACCATTAACTTCACACAGACTCTCCCACTGGTACATCTTCATCTTTAAATCACTTCTTGGTCTGCTGCCTTCATACATCTCCTCCTACATGTCTCTGTGTGAGTGCAGCTACAGCGTGCGCTCTCAGGACATCATTACCTGCAGTGTTCCCTCAGTGAGGACTGAACTAGACAAAAGGACCTTCTCCTACTCCGCTCCTGTTTCCTGGAATATCTTGTAAAAACATCTGAAGCTCTCGACCTTTGACCTCTCTAAGTGTCTTCAAACATCTGTTCAGTTCCTGCAGATGTTCCTGTTTGTAGTTTTCTACACCACCTCATAATCTAGCTGTTGTTTTGCTGCTTTTTCTTTAAATTACCATTTTACTTTCATTTGTAAAAAAATTGCATCTTTTATAACTGTCTGTTGTTGTTGTTGTTATCACTTTGTTAAAATTCAGGTCTCTCTTGTAAATGAGTCCTTGTGGCTCAACGGGACCAACGTGTTTAAATGAAAGTTGAATGAAAAATGGAGGTAGATGGAGAGAGGACAGAGGATGCAGAGGACAGTGAGATGGAGGAGGACTCGCTATGGACAGCGCTGAAGACAGAAAAGCCAAAAGACGACGACCATTCAAAGAACAAACCCAGGTGTTGTGTGTTACGGACCTTGCTTAAGGAGTTAGTTTGGCGGTTCCCACAGAAATGGTACCTGAACCTCTTCCTGAGCGGCTGCAGCATTATTTGGACAGGAAGACAGAGGGGAGGGTCCTGCAGCTGAGGGGTGGCTGAAGACAGAACCTGATCAGAGGACAGACTTTGACCTCTCTGGGACACGAGATTATCTCTGTCAGGGACGGTTAAAGAAACGTTGGGTACATGAAGGTTTCCACCTCGGAGACTTCACACACGGACACTTGGACTTGAACCGTAGGACAGGAACGATGTCTCAGGATTACAAACCACGAGTCACAACTTGGTTGTGTTTCAAGAAACCAACAAAAATTGTATGAAGACTTCTTGATGACCTCTTTGAAATCTGCTTTTGGTCTCTTTATACTACCTTCAGCTTTTAGCACACGTTCTGCAACTTTTAGCTATGGATATGCTAACTGTAGGTGCTAACGACGGTTTTGCTGATTTTCCGCTCGTTTAGCTTATTCCTCAACAAATGTCCCAAAAGTCGTAGAGCATGCAGCACTCGCACTGCGAGTTCACAGGAAATGCTTTACTTCCTAGTATATTGTCATTTCAAAATAAAAGGGTGCCCAAATATTAAACAATGACAGTAAACTAAGCAAATGATGAGTACCATAATTACAGTACTACAAGTACATCTGTACGGTTTATACGCAAGAGTGTCTTATTTATGTAGTTTCATAGTTTTTAAAATGTGTATTTTTACATTTTATTCTCAAAGACTTCCTGCCATCTCTCCACAGCTTCCTGCCGCTGACGAACATGTTCCTTCGACGGGGCGGGGCTGGTGGCTCCCGGGGCCCCGCCCCTCATGGGACAGGCGGTGACGGAGAGAGACAGAACTTTAGTGATCCCGCAGGAAGTTGTTGTGCCAGAGTTTCAGAATAAAGGAGCACGCACAAGGTATAAAAATAACAGAAGATAAAAAAATAACAGAAGATCAAAAATAACAAAAGATAAAAGATCAAAAATAACAGAAGATCAAAAATAACAGAAGATCAAAACACCACCATTAAGGTGTAAAAGAGTTCTTCATGAGCTTAGAGTCTGTTGACTTCAGCTTCTTCACCTGCTGCTCCAGAACACCACAGAGTAGAAGATGATGATGCTGGAGACCACCGAGTGGTGAAACATCTGCAGCATGGTCCTGCAGATGTTAAAGGACCCGAGTCTCCTCAGAAGAAAAAGACGACTCTGCTCTTTCTTGTAGAGGTGCTGGTGTCATCTGTCCAGTTTATGGTCCAGGTGGACCTCCAGGTACTTGTAGCAGTCCAGTGTCCTCCTTACTACCCTTGATGTTGACAGGGCTGGTCTTCCTGTGGTCCACCTGCAGCTCTTTAGTTTCCCCATCGTTGAGCTGCAGCTGGTTCTGTCCACCACCTCTGTGTTCAGCTTCCTGGTCACCAGTGGTGCAGCCCACAACGACAGCTCATCCAGAACTTCTGCAGATGCAGGATTGTGAGTTGGACCTGAAGTCCGAGGTGTAGAGGGTGAACAGAAACGGTGAGAGGAGCGTGCCCTGAGGAACACCTGTGCTGCTCAGATGGTGTTCCAGGTGTTCTGCAGCCTCACATACTGTGGTCGACCTGGGAGGTGGTCTCTGATCCAGGTGACCAGCGAGTCCTTCCTGCATGTCCAGGAGCTGCTGCAGAGCAGGTCTGATGGTGTTCAAAGCACTGGAGAAGTCAAAGAGCATGACTCTGACAGGCTGCCTGCCCTGTCCAGGTGTGTCTGTGCAGCAGGTAGATGATGTCATCACCTCCAATGTGTGGCTGGGATGTGAACTGTAGGAGGTCCAGGTATGGTTCCCCCACTGATCCGACGTCCTTCAGGACCAGCCTCTCCAGTGACTTCATGGAGTGATGTCACGGCCACAGGTCTGTAGTCACTGAGTTTGGGTGGTTGTTCGTCAGCTCCGGGACCAGACGTGATGTTTTCCACAGAGCAGGGACCTCAGGTGGAAAATGATGCCGAGATCATCACACATCTGAGCTGCACACCCTTTCAGGAGTTTGGGGATTAATCCACCTGGACCTGCAGACTTGCCTGGACATAGACAGCTGAGCTCCTCACAGCCTCCCTGATGACGGTGATTGGAGGCCTGTGTTGCCAGATAGTCAAGGATTTCCAGCCCAAAAATCTGTTAAAAATGGCCACATCACACCAAAACCTGCGTAAACAGGTTTGAACACGATATTGTCCCAAAGCCACCGATGAAGTCTCCTGAAACATGTTTTAAATTCTCTGTGTCGGTAAATATACATTTAAACACCGGGGTCTTACTTTAAACTCTCATCCGGACACGAAGCGGAGAACAACAGGAGCCCCCCCCCCCCGTCATGAGAGCTCATCGAGCGGTGGACAAGTCGTCAGCTTTATTTTTAAAGCCGTCAGTCAAGACGACACGTATTTAAATAAAAGTTCTGGGAGATACGTGTTTAAATACCAGCATGTCACTGAAGCTGAAACAGGAGCATGAAACAGAACTGATGGGAGGGAGGCGCAGTTCCTCCTCCTCCTCCTCATAGGAGCTCTGTTGAGGAGAATCACGTCAAATTTATTTAGAAACTTCATTTAAAAACAGCCGTTGTTAACAAAAGTGTTTAAAATCAATGGTACTAATTTAAAGAATATTTACCGTATTCTACTGGTACCATTTGACTTGCAGTCACATGACCTCATAAGACTTCTGGGTAATATTTACTGGTACATGACTTTAAATAATTTCAGTTATGTAGGTGTTTGGCACTGCTCTGTGCAGTGGTTATGCTTCGAGGGTCAGTGTGTTCATTTTGAAGTGTAATGGTTGTAACCAGGAGTGAGTGAAGCTTCAGGAGGACTCTGATGATCTTGCAGTGAGTGATGAAAAACTAGATTGTGTGAAACTCCCCCTGCTGGCTGGTTCTTGTACTACAACACAAAACTGCACCAGCCGGCTCAGACTCGGACCAGTGGATGCCTGCAGCTTAATAACCCTAGCGTCTTATTTATGTACAAAATTATGATTTGTCTTATATTTAATAAATGCGGCTTAGAGACAGGTGCAGTTTACAATGAAGGTAAGTGTGTGCACGTGATGAAGAACAAGCAGAGGAAGCTGCCGAGTGTCTGTGGAAGGATACGAGGTCTGCAGGGCGTGCAGCTGCGTCACCACCTCCTCCAAACGGCTGCTGACCTCCTGACTGTTGGCCACCGGCGTCGACGGCTGACAAGTTGAGACGATGGGCCAGTGAAGATGAGTCAGTACGTTCTCAAAATCACTGTAAAATAATGATGGAATGAAAACATGTTGTAGGTGTCGGCTTTGTTCAAGCAGAAGGTGAAGCAGCGAGAGCTGCAGGTTCATGAACAAACACCTCGTCAGCTGCTCTTTGATGATGTTGTGCCAAAAACTGAGTGTTTTTCTGAGGAAGTCCTGCAGGTGGGAACACCCTGACTGGTTCAGTCCACAGTCCAGTGCAGCCATGTTTTTCACTGCCCTGATGGCGTCGCCAACGCTGTTGATCATCAGACACTGCTGAACCGTGGCACTGTGGACACAGACCAAACGACCAGGCACAGTTCACGTTACAAGACAGGAAGTGACAGGATGCAGCATATTCAAGTGGGAGGAGTTTCAGTGTGGAGAAGAACAGAGGGAGCTTGGTTTCCTCGTTGATGCTGAGCACACGGACGAGTGCAGGGAGACACTTGGTCCACCAACAGGTGCCCCAGCGGCCCCGGCCCCACGGACTAGTCTCTGCCCACCCCAGTCATTTGAGGAAAACACACACGACGAAGCAGGTTCATCCAACGACGGGGATGGCCGGGGTTCATTATATACGGTGGCAGCCATGTGTGATCACCCGAGTTCCCAATCGTCAATCAAAGCGTTCACTTGTTTTTAGTGCTTTGACTGACCGAGGACCAGAACCGGACCAGAACCTGCTGTACGTCAGCAGCTGATGTACAGCAGGTAAATCAACATCTTAATAATGTTTGTTTGTGTTTACTTCATCACACAACAACCGGCTGAGTTTTATTTGTCCTGCCAGGAGAAGCTGTCCTCCACCGGTTCTGAACCAGGCTCGGCCCGGGTGCGGTGCAGGAGGACGTGGGAGGGACATGTTGGATGAACCATTTATTAAGTTCCCCTCAGTTCTTTTCTTGAATCCGTTCAGTGTTTGAACGTTAATGAAAGGAGTGAACGAGCCACATAAACAACATGGCGTCAGTATCCAGGACGACAGCAGAGAGGAAGAGTCCACTTCATCAATGTGGTTCAGTTAACGTGTTTTTAACGTGTTCACTGTTCTGACCCGTGTGTGTGTCACATACAGTTTGTGGTGTTGAAGAAATAAATACAACTTAACCTCATGTCTTCATTGTCAACTTTAAGAACACGCAATTAACTACGAGATTAAAATGTATTCCATCAGTCGTAGTTCAGGGAGCGCCGTGTCCGCCGCCATGTTCATAGAAATGCTTGGTCTGCGTGCACGCGTGCGCATGTGGTTAACACAAAGCCTCAGCGGGATGTGTTCACATCATCAGCGGGGGTCAGTGAGAACCCTCCACTGTGGAAGGTGGGTTCAGAAAGCTCTGGATTCAAAGAGGGGTCCACTGGTGTGGTGTAGACGATGAGCAGGACCTCAGAGGGAGCTGAGGATGCTCTCAGAATACGCGCCGTGTAAACGGACCCTGCACCGGTCTCAGAAAAGCAGCACATAATCCTTAGAGTCCAAAGAAGATGGATGCAGACACAGACAAGTAAAGTTGGCATCTCCCTTATTTTTCAAGTCATCGTGCTCACAACATGCACATGGCTCTTCCAGTCCCCTGTGCTTGGTGACAGGAAAGCTTCCCTCATCACGGCACCTTTCAGGCCAGAGCTTGAAGCTAAAACCATCCTGTGTGAGTGCAGCCATCTTCTGAAACGCAGCACAGAACAGTGATGACTCGGCTACCACCACATGCGCTACTGTACCTGAGCTCTCCCATGTAGTGAAGACACTTCAGGTATCTCAGACTTTTGTCCATAAAGTCTACTCGATTAAATGTCTCGTCAAGACCATCCATCCACAGCTTGGTCCCCTGCAGGTGCTAGAAAACAAAAGAGCTCATCAGGGTTTATGCAGTGTACGAGTGTAATCAGAGTCAGAGACTCTTTACGTGCACAGGGTCCCAGTCACATCCAACAGTAACGTGTAAAATAACGACGACAACATCTAAGGTGTGAAGTAAGAAAAACATCAAGTAAAAGTCTACGAGTGTGTTCAAGCAGATAACAAGCATGAACACACAACTCTGACCTTGTGTGTACTCATGTCTGAACGTATGATCAGCAAATATCATAAATCACTATTAGACACAGTTCCAATGTTTTAATGTAAAAATTCTAACTTTTGTTGGAAAAAATAAGGAACTGTGATTTATACAGCGACGTGACTTATTTATATATTTATAATCAACTTTTGGCCGAGATATGACAATTTCACTCATTCCAAGGAAAATATTGAACACTACCATTTTCAGCCACTAGAGGGCCCTCAACTAATATGGCAAGTCTCATTAACAGGTAAAAGTGATTAATGAGACACTTGGCTTGCCATACCGGCCACCTTCGTCTCGCTCCGGAACTCCTGCAACAAGCGCCAAATCAGCTGATTTCACCGTCAAAGCGCATTTATGAAGGAAGAAGTTCAACGGAGGCGCCCCATGCTATCACTTCAAGCAAACAATTGTTTTTAGGTGTTAATATTGTTAAATTCTTGTTAGGGTCCTCCTGTGCACGCTCCCATGACTGCCATTTGGCAGCCAATCGATTTTTGCATAACACCAGTCCACATTTCTGGGTTGTCAGAGGTGACGTGCAACAAATGCAACGTGTCAGCGCTGATGCATAACAGATGCGACTTGTACTGCGGTGCTACGTGTACAGCAGCAAGTACGGTAATCAATCAATCAATCCATCCTCTTATCCAGGGTCAGGTAGCAGCCTAAGTAGGGAGGCCCAGACTTCCCTCTCCCCAGCCACTTGGTCCAGCTCCTCCGGGGGAATCCCGAGGCGTTCCCAGGTCAGCTGAGGAACATAGTCCCTCCAGAGTGTCCTGGGTCTTCCTCTGGGTCTCCTCCTGGTGGGACGTGTCTGGAACACCTCACCAGGGAGGCGTCCAGGAGGCATCCTAACCAGATGCCCGAGCCACCTCAACTGGCTCCTCTCGACGTGGAGGAGCAGCGGCTCTACTCCGAGTCTCTCCCGGATGATCAAGTTCTCAGCCGGTCTCTAAGGGAGAGTCCAGACACCCTGCGGAGAAAACTCATTTCGGCTGCAGAAGATTTTTAACCGGGGTTTTACTTGAAGTCAGATTTTCAGGACAGGTCACAAAACTTTACATAAAGTACAGACAAGAGGACCAGTGACAGGAATGTGCCCAAGCTGCCTTCCCCCCGTTTTATCCCTCATCAATTCAGCCGACCCCCCCACATTAAAACCCAACCTGTATTTGAATGTAGAAGAAACTGCAGTTGCTCGAAAAACTTGAGCAAAAGAAGCTTAAATGTGTCGTTTAGTTTTACACAGATCATTTTCAACCATTCAGGGGAATTGGGTTTTTCTACCTGATGAAATCTGACAGAACCTACAGTAAGTGGGTACCCATTATACAAGAGGGGAGCCCCTGGGGGCCACAGGCCGAAAGGCCCCGCCTCCACAGCCTGGGGGCCACAGGCCGAAAGGCCTCGTCTCCACAGCCTGGGGGCCACAGGCCGAAAGGCCCCGACTCCACAGCCTGGGGGCCACAGGCCGAAAGGCCCCGTCCCCACAGCCTGGGGGCCACAGGCCGAAAGGCCCCGCCTCCACAGCCTGGGGGCCACAGGCCGAAAGGCCCCGTCCCCTTCAGTTTTCAGAGGTTCTGAGAGTGGGAGCGAGGACCACGAGCAGCAGACGTTTGGTTTAACGCTGACGAGGACGCACAGGAACCATGAAGAGCTCTGAACGTCAGAACAAGAACTTTGAAGCAGATTCTAAACTGCACTGGGAACCAGTGCACTGAACATAGAACCAGAGTGATCTACTGGATTTGGTGAGAAGTCCGGCAGCTGCGTTCTGCATCACTTGTGGACGTGAGACAGAAGACACTTGTCCAGGCAGGTCAAAAGGACATCGCAGTCGTCCAGACGCCATGACACAGAAGCGTGAAAACCTTTTCTCTAGATCTTCTCTGGAGACCAGAGTCGTATTTTAGAAGTTTCTTCAGAGGAAGGAACAAGAACATTGTGTGTAACATCAGACGTTCTTCAAATAGTCCAGGAAGCCGAGCGCATGTACCTCGTGCAGGGAGCTGGAGACACCACGCTGTCTCTGCAGCAGCTCCTCCAGAGAACATCCAACCTCTTCTGCCTCAGACAGACACCACGAAACTTTAGGAGGCACCGAGCTGGACACGGTCAGGACCTGAACCCAGAACACAGAGGAGGCATCACCAGTGGGCGGGGCCAGAGGAGACTGATGGGACAACATGACAATACCACAGGAACGCTCACAGAGACGGGTGAGAGAGGGGCGGGTGAGAGAGGGACGGGTGAGAGAGGGGCGGGTGAGAGAGGGACGGGTGAGAGGGGGACGGGTGAGAGAGGGGCGGGTGAGAGGGGGACGGGTGAGAGGGGGACGGGTGAGAGGGGGACGGGTGAGAGAGGGGCGGGTGAGAGGGACGGGTGAGAGGGACGGCTCAGAGGGACGGCTCAGAGGGACGGGTGAGAGGGGCGGGTGAGAGAGGGACGGGTGAGAGGGGCGGGTGAGAGAGGGACGGGTGAGAGGGGCGGGTGAGAGAGGGACGGGTGAGAGAGGGACGGCTCAGAGGGGCGGGTGAGAGAGGGGCGGGTGAGAGAGGGATGGGTGAGAGAGGGACGGGTGAGAGGGACGGGTGAGACAGAGAAGGGTGAGAGAGAGACGGGTGAGAGACAGGTGAGACAGAGACAGGTGAGACAGAGACAGGTGAGACAGAGACAGGTGAGACAGAGCTGGGTGAGACAGAGCTGGGTGAGACAGAGACAGGTGAGACAGAGACAGGTGAGACAGAGCTGGGTGAGACAGAGACAGGTGAGACAGAGACAGGTGAGACAGAGACAGGTGAGACAGAGACAGGTGAGACAGAGCCGGGTGAGACAGAGACAGGTGAGACAGAGACAGGTGAGACAGAGCTGGGTGAGACAGAGACAGGTGAGACAGAGACAGGTGAGACAGAGACAGGTGAGACAGAGACAGGTGAGACAGAGCTGGTTCACCAGCTTCCCATGATGTAATTTGTACAAAGGCTCTGCATGTTGTCTTTAATTTAGAACAACTTAAGTTTATTAACTGACGATCTGTTGGAATTTTAAAAGGAAAAACAACAAATGCATCTCTTTCGACTTCCACGAACACCCGTGGATGAGTGGTTAAAGCAGCTGTCCTCCAACGAGAAGGTCACAGGTTCGATTCCGCCAGGACGCCATCACTTTTCCAAGTGTCCCTGGCATCGTGCGTGTGCGTGTCCACGTACCTGCTCCTCCAGCTCGGAGGTCTCGTGTCGAACTCTGTCCAGCAGCTGTGAGACGGTCTGGGCGGACCTGAGCTCGCTGCCGAACTCTTTGTCCAGGAGGTCCAGTCCGAACTCTTGTCGGTTCTGGAAACCACCGGAAAAACGCCTGCTCTCTCCAAGCTCAGCTTCATCCACCGCAGCATCTTCAAGCGCGGAAATAATCGCAGCCATCTTTTCTTATACGTAGCTACTTCCGGTGAGATGTGAGCTACTTCCGGTGAGATGTGAGCTACTTCCGGTGGCGCGTTACTGCCACCTGCTGGTTCGGAGAGGAATGACGTCTTCTTTAATGTAACGGCGGGTCACCAGCGGGGTTTGAACCAAGGAGGTCCCTGGTTCAAACCCCGCTGAGAGGCAGCAGCTCTACCAGTTGTGCCACCGTGCTGCCCTCAATTCAATTCAGTTTATTTCTAAAGCTCCAAGTCACAAGAGAAGTCTCAGGGACTGAACAGAAACATTCATCTGTAAAATAATAATTGAACAAAAACATTCATGTATAAAATAATGATTGAACAGAAACATTCATCTGTAAAATAATAATTGAACAGAAACATTCATGTATAAAATAATAATTAACATTATTTATCTGAGGAGCAGCTTTGAGTTTAACTCCATCACTGAACTCTCATCTTGAACAAGCATGAAGGCGACAGTGGAAAGAAAAACTCCCTCATGAGGAAGAAACCTTTAGCAGAACCAGGATCAGGACAAGAGGACCATCTGCTTCGACCGGCTGGGTTTGATAGGAATAGATACACAATGGCAGGTCAAGAATCACATGTTAAGATAGAAATAGTATCAAATGAAAACTATTCAGTTTTAACAACTCATTTAAGGAAATGAGGTCAGTTTGTCCTCTAGTAGTCTAAGTCTATAGCAGCATAACAAGCCGACCCTAACTATAGGATTTATCAAAAAGGAAAGTCTTAATCCCAGTCTTAAACTGGACAATGTGTCAGCCTCATGGACAGAAACTGGAAGTTGGTTCCACAAGAGAGGAGCCTGAGAACTGAAAGATCTTCCTCCCATTCTGCTGCTGGAAACTCTAGGAACCACAAGTAAACCTGCAGTCTGAGAGTGAAGTGCTCTGTTAGTAAAATATGGAACAATAAGATCTGTAATATAAGATGGAGCTAGGTTGTTGACAGCTTTGTAGGTTAGAAGTAAGATTTTGAATTCTATTCTGGATTTGACAGGGAGCCAATGGAGAGAAGCTAAAACTGGAGAGATATGATCTCTCCCAGTAACTCCAGTTAAGACTCTGGCAGCAGCATTTTGGATCAACTGAAGACGTTTTAAAGAAGTATTTGGACACCCAGATAATAAACCATTGCAATAGTCCAGTCTAGATGTGACAAATGCATGGACCAGTTTTTCTGCATCATCTTTAGATCAGATGTTTCTAATGTTAGTGATATTACGCAGGTGGAAGAAGGAGGTTCTAGTAACGTTTTTAATGTGGGGGATAAAAGACGTGTCCTGATCAAAAATAACACCAAGATTTTTAACATTAGAGCTGGAGGACAGATTAATCAGTATAATTATTTAATTAATTATTCATAAATTACGTCTGGATTAACATACAGGAAGGTTTGAGCCGAGCATGGACTGGAGGTCCCACAGTCAAAACGAGACACTCCACCAAGGCTGGTGGAGAATGGAAGGACTAAGACACTGTGGGACTTCCAGATCCAGATGGACAAACGTGTGATGGCTGACCGAGCGGACAGTGGTGGTCGACAAGTTGCAGAAGAAGGCAGTGGTGACAGATGTAGCAATCCAAGTGACTAAGCACAGGAAGAAGGAGCAGCTGGAGGGATACCAAAGGCTGAAAGAGGACCTGGACATGTTCACGTGTGCTCTTTGTTAAATCAGCTCTCTCCTATGAATGAGTCCTGGAGGCTCGGTGAGACCACCCTGTAGAAATAAAGGCTGAATGAAGTGTGTGTTTGCAGAGCACTGCTCCAGTAGCACGGTGTCTTCACGTCACGGTCAGAGTTGGTCAGCAGGTTGCTGGGCAGACCGTCTCCTGCTGTCACAGCAGGCTGACCTGCTGAGTTACAGGGTTACTCTGACGTCCTCCACTGCTCACGGGGCATCGCTGCACTTCTATAAATCACCACTCGTCTGCAAGGCTAACATTGTAAGGCACTGAAAAATCTACACGTCTTCTCAGTTTATTGTCATATTTTATATCTATGTTGGAGTTTTGAGTTTATTTTAATTAAGGTCAGCTGTTTTTCATGACAAGCAGACATGTTCTATCTGCTCCTGCAGTTTCAGATTATAGTATTGAAACATCATTTACTATAAAATCCTGCAGATTATCAAAACATCATTCAGTTAAAAAAAAAGAGTCTTTGTAAAAGTGGCAGAAAAAAACAACATTTCTGTCTTTGTTCAGGTTCCTGCAGCAACATTTAACCAGCTTGTTCTGCTGCTACAGACTTAGACTACTAGAGGACAAACTGACCTCATTTCCTTAAATGAATTGTTAAAACTGATGTGATTCTGGACCTGCCATTGTGTATCTATTCCTCCCAAACCCAGCCGGTCGAAGCAGATGGTCCTCTAGTCCTGATCCTGGTTCTGCTAAAGGTTTCTTCCTCATGAGGGAGTTTTTCTTTCCACTGTCGCCTTCATGCTTGTTCAAGATGAGAGTTCAGTGATGGAGTTAAACTCAAAGCTGCTCCTCAGATAAATAATGTTCAATTATTATTTTATACATGAATGTTTCTGTTCAATTATTATTTTATAGATGAATGTTTCTGTTCAATTATTATTTTATAGATGAATGTTTCTGTTCAATTATTATTTTATAGATGAATGTTTCTGTTGGGCAGCACAGTGGCGCAACTGGTAGAGCTGCTGCCTCTCAGTGAGCAGGTCCCTGGTTCAAATCCCGGTCCAGGGGCCTTTCTGGGTGGAGTTTGCATGTTCTCTCCGTGCATGCGTGGGTTTTCTCCGGGTGCTCCGGTTTCCTCCCACAGACCAAAAACATGCATGTTAGGCTGACTGGTAACTCTAAATTGTCCCTAGGTGTGAGTGAGAGAGTGAATGGTTGTTTGTCTCGTTTGTCTCTATGTGTCCCTGTGATGGACTGGAGACCTGTCCAGGTGTCCCCCGCCCCTCGCACAGTGATTGCTGGACATGGGCACCAGCGACCCCCGTGACCCAAAATGGAATAAGCGGGTAAAGAAAATGGATGGATGGATGGATGGATGGATGGATGGATGGATGGATGGATGGATGGATCTGTTCTGTTCCTGAGACGACTTCTGTTGTGACTTGTAGCTGTAGAAATAAACTGGATTGAATTGAATTTAATGCCTGTCTGGGCCGGTTGTCTTGTGCGGATTAATCCTCCTGAAAGTACTCCTTACTTCTGCTGAGGTCACGCTGAGATGCTCTTCATCCGGTGGCGAGGTGAGTCTGGTGCTGGGTGGTCTGTTCGGGTCTTCAAAGCGTGCATAGAACTTGTTGAGGGCATCAGGCAGAGATGGGTCTTTGGGGCATTGTTCACTCCTTCCTTTATAATCTGTTAATGCCCCTCCACATGCTCCGAGGGTCTTGTGAGGTGAATTGACCCTGGATCTTCTGTGCATATGTGGCCTTGGCCCTCTTAATACCAGCAACCAGCTCTTTCCTTGTCCTCAGCTCCTCTGAGCTTCCAGACCTGAAGGCAGTGTTCCTGGCTTCCAGCAGTTCTGTTTAAAGGAATGGAAGAGCTGCATAAAGACAGATGATGTGGATGTGGAAGGCTTTTCAGTTCTTGTTTTAATTCTTTTAATTGTAGTAGCATGCTTGACTGAGCTACCACAGCCCTCTGTGTGGAGCAGAGAGCTGTCATCTAGGGCAGTGGTCCTCAAACCCCGGTCCATGGGTCCATGGGTCCATGGGTCCATGGGTCCATGGGTACCGGGCCACACAGAAGGGGAAAAAATGTGTTTATTTTGATAAATCCCCAGATTCTCTCCACCACATCGGTCTATGAGTCACTCTTGACGCAGGTCAATATTCACCAGTGGTCAGTTTCAGTTTGTGCTGGGTGCACGTGCAGACCAGTGCTACACTGCTGGTGAAGAACAAAACAATTCAGCTACGTGGTGGTGGAGGTGTGAGCTGTGTCTGTGCATATCGAAGGATCGCTGCATATTTTTCAACCCACCTGACAAAGATTGACTATAAAACTGTAACTAAGTAAAAGTATAATTTTAACAAGCTTCCTACATCAGAGCTGTCGCTTCACATTTTTCCTTCTGCTCAAAAAAATCTCTGCCCCTAACAGTTCCAAGTCGTGGGAAGTTTTATTATAAAACACAAAACTATAATTCAAGGTTTTGCACTAGGCATGAGTTCCTGTGCTTTTGTGAACAATCAGATGTGAAGTTCCTCCGAACTTTCACCGAACTGATCAAACAGACCATCTCACGTTTGTCGTGCAGTCAGAATATTTGAAGCAAAACATGTTTTAAGTGTTTGTAAAATACACCAGAATGCAGGAAATGGCATCGACTTTATTCAAAATTTTGTTGGGGAGGACCCCCAGACTACAACACCCCCCCCCCCCCCCCGCTCCGCCCCCAGTCCGTGAAAATATTGTCTGACATCAAACTGGTCCGTGGCACAATAAAGGTTGGAGACCAGTGATCTAGGGCACCCGTGGGAGCAGACTGTGGGGTTAAGGGCCTTGCTCAAGGGCCCAGAGTGGGACAAATAAGGGTGGAGTCCGATGTTTCCCCACCCACATTTTGATGGTGTCGGTACAAGAAGTCGAACCGGTGACTTTCCCATCACAGGCCAGCCATCTGTAACCTCTGCACTTTATATTTATACAGACCCTTTCCAGAAAATGAGAATATCATGGAGAAGTTGTGTAACTTCCATAATTCCATTCAAAAGTTCATCTTTAACAGACGATAGATTCAGGGACCACAATTTAAACTATTTCAAGTAGTTATTGTTTATTTTTACATAATTTGGTTTATTTGTTTATTTTTACATCATTTGGTCTTTCATCTCATGAAACTCACGAAAACAGGATTTAAAAAATCATAATCCTGTGGAGACATCAGTCCACACGTCTCAGTTGTTGCAGAAATAAATAAATAAATCAGGATCAGAACAAATCAATCAAAACATGTTTCTTTCAAATCAATATGTCAATCTTCAATAGTTGGTTGTGAATC